AATAAATTATTTTTTAAAAATTTTAAGAGCATAACTTGCCTATTGTCATCCAACTTGCAGCTCTTTTCTGTATGGTACAGCAATAACTGGGCCCGCAATTAGCCCCACTGCGTTACTTGCCTTGACAATAATTCACCATCTCTCTCCTATGTATCAATCAGTGGACCTCTAATTTAGAAATAATTTTTCTATATATATATATTTTTAGTATAATCTTATATATTATTTAAATAATTAAATCTGATTATTTATCTAAAATTTAAAATATTAAATATATTTATTTATTTAATAATATATAAAAATATATAAAAAATAATGTAACAAATTATTCATATATCATTACCCTAATCCACGTATACTCCTATGACTTTACTTCTTCTTTAAAAAAAAAACTTTAATTTCGTACATTTATTTTAATAAAAAATATTTTTTTAATCTTTTTTACTTAAAAAAACTGTTTTAATCTTTAGAATTATTATTTAACTTTTTGAATCTCTTTGTTATCCTTTTTTATACATGTGACATATTAAAAAACAAAAATTTTAAACTATAAGACTAAGAAGGATTAATAAAAATTTTTTTCTGATTTCTCTATTAAAAAGTTTATTTTTAATTCTTTAACTTTAAAATTTTTATTATTTAATGTATTATATACATAAAAATAATAGAGGAACTAAAAAAGGATCAAATAATAAATTTTAGAAATTAAAAAAAAGTGTTTTTATTAAAATAAATGGATTAAAATGAGATTTTAACTTTTTTTTCTTTTCTTAAAAAAAAAAAATAAATTGCCTCTTGCTTCTAAGAACTAAATGCAACTATTAAGGTGCATCTAGAAATGCAGTGGAAGGGTTTTTCTATAGTTATATAATATTTTAAAATATGTGTGCTTGATAATATTTTTGACATTATATTTCTAAGTTGCAAAAAGTCATAACAAGTCATAATATTTTTATATATAAAATCAGAAACTTTATTTTAAAGCTTTTTAGTTGTATTTTTATAAACAACACTTAATATTTAATACAATTATAAAATTACCCATTAAAATCTAATCTCATTTAATTCAATTACATCATAATTTATAATATATTATTTAAACCTGCTTTTCATTTATTTAAAAATTCTATAAAAAATTAAAAATTCATTCTCTTCTTCTGAGTTGTTTTCTTGCAAAACTCAAAAAAATCCCCTCTTATAAAACCTAAAAATCTAAAGTATTAAGTGGTAAATGTTATTTATTTTAGTAATTATATGTTATATAGTATTTTTAAAATTTTAATTAATAAATAATAAAATTTATCATATATCATCCATAGTACGTTTAGAAAATAAATATAACCAAATAATAAAATAACTTTCGATTATAACTACAACACAAAACAATTTAGTATAGGGACCATGATTGGTGCACACC